AAAAGATCAAAATGAGAAACAAAAAAAATATAGTTTGACATACAAGAGCATGTTTATAAGATAATTGTAAAAATTTATTCGTTTCAGGTGAAAGATAAAGAAATGTAAAAATATAAAAAATTATTATAGGTTTAATGGAGTCAGATTGTTGTCAATCATGTTTAGGAGATGGTTGAATTATTTGGACTAGAAATGGACTAAAATCTAATTTTTGAATTTTCGAAACTCGTGACAGAAATTTTATAAGATTATATCAATACGTGAGTATCGGTGATACAATCGAGAAGAAGGTGATTCTACATGAAAAAACAGATCGAAAGTAAAGAATAAAATTTTTTCATTCGAAACTTCGTTTGCGAGAAAATCGACTTTGAATATTCACCGAGTGCGCGTGTATTTAACTTTGGCTAAAGCGGATGGACCATCAGAATATCAGCGTATTCGGTGAATATTCAAAGTCGATTTTCTCGACAACGAAGCCTCAAACGAAAAAATTTTATTCCTTATTTTCGATTTGTTTTTTCACGTAGAATTACCTCTTCTTCGATTTTACTACCGTTGCTGGAACACCCTGTATTTGATCAGTCTTATTTTCACATATTTCGACTAATTTTTGACAGCTTTCCTATCGTTTCTCGGCAAAGTGATAAAGGAATTTTTTGGTCCTTTGAGAATGCTTTTAAAGTCTCAAAGGAATTTTTCATTTTCAGACGATGTCAAAAATAGCCTTTTTTAAACATGCTTTGTAAAAAAGGGGGTTAATTATTGTCATTTGCGTATAGCATATTTAGTATCACTGTAGCATTATTGTAGTATATTTAGCAAAAATATCTAACGTACATCTTTGTAAAAAATTCTTTTTGGATTTAATCTACATTCTTTTTTATCGATTTTAGTGCTGGATGTACTGAACGTTTTTCAGAAATTGACTGATTTTTTATTAACCGATTTTATATTTTTTCTTATCCACGCTTTGAAAATTTCGAATCTTAAAAAATGTACGATGTTTCGAGTCCTCGAAACTCGAAATTTTCATGGATTTCGAAGGGTTTCGATGTTTCGATGTTTCGACGTTTCGTGAAATTTACCCGCAGTTTGAACATACCTGCGGCTAACTTCTCGGCTAGAGATATTGGTATTCTATGAACGAAGTGCCAGTTTGTATCTAGTTGTTTCAGCTAATAATATATTCACCCCAAAGCTTTTGTTCCATTATCAATTACTTGTTCAGTATTGGATTTAGGTTCGGTGTTTCCGAAGTTTATATTGCTATTTGATCGATATTGGAGGTTATGTTTCATACAATTCGTTCTTTTGCATCTGGCATTGAATACACACGAGGAGTCGAAATTATACGCGTTTATATGGAAGTAATTTTTATCACGCATTTTAATCTCTTTTCATCCGTAGATGAGATATCTCGTAATGCGACGTCATTCAGTGACAACTTTGATAAGAAATCTCTCCTATCTGTTTTCCAATATTTATTACTAAATCATAAATGTTTCACGCGAAAGAAAGAGAAGACCCATTTTGAATAAGAAATATCGCGTTCCTGATGTTCGATATTAATATTAGGAAATATTAAATGCTTCGTGTGAAATGTAAGATAAGAGATCTTGGATATTGGTTCCATTGTCTTTATAAGTGAATTGTAATAGTTTTATGTAAATTTGTAAGGGGAAAAAAGGCTTATCCTTTAAGGTAAAATAGGTTATGTTTTGATACACGAGTTATCTCATCTATAATATTGCATGAACACAAGGTTAGCTGAAAGAAGGTCATTTGTATTTGTATTTGTATTTGACGTCATTGTTGAATATTAATTTTGAGAATTTTCGGAGAAATCTAAAGAGAGTAGTGGTATGAACTTCCATTTTGTTTTTAAAATCTAGAACTAGTGAATTAATTGATGGGTACATCGCTTTAGTTTAATTCTTACGCATTTATTTTTGAAAATTACTATTTTTCCATGCAGTGATATTTTATTATCTGTTATATTTTGTTATATTTTATTTATTTTATTTGAATATGTTACAAATGTAAATACATTAAATAGAACATTTAATTAATTTAGTATTTATTATTATTATTATTTTTAACATTTTTTAGCTGATATGTATAGTGTTATCATTGTTACATCTAAGATAATATTATTTGCAAAAATTTCAGATATAATATTTATTTATATATTCAATGCATATGTTGTACACTATATTTCGCTATAATTTAAATAGTCATTTTTTAATAGTAGTAATAATATTTAATAGTCATAAGAATAAAATGTGCAAGAATATTTCTTCTTGTGATTACACAAGGAGACGTTACACGATAATCGTTCTGGTCTTGATAAAAGAATTCCTCTTAACGAACGCGGTGCTTTGATTTATAGAGCTCATTTCCCTCGCGACCAATACCATTTTTTGTTACGCTCAGAGAACATAGAGTTCATACAGAGTTCTACATAGGCGTCGAAGCAGGGCTAGAAATTTTAATTCATATATAATTCGGAATTTTCAGAAGGCTTACTGTTGTAATAATTTAAATACATTTTTAAATTATTGCTAAAATTAATCGAATATTAATTTTAATTGATATTAATAAATACGAACAGTGAACAGTGAAGAGTTAATATCTAAACAAATTATAACGAAATTGTTAAATATTATACAAATATTTGAAATCATTTCACAAGTGTCATACATCTTTGAAATTGGTTCACTTTTACTTTTATGTCACTATATTTTCAAATTTTAGGTATCTAGTATGTTATATAATGATAAATACTTGATATTTACTATATTTTTATCGTAAGATGGTTTACGTCTACTTTTATGTCATCATATTTTCAAATTTTAGGTATTTAGTATGTTATATAATAATAAATACGTGATATTTATTATATTTTTATCGTAAGATGGTCTACTTTTATGTCACCATAATTTTATATATAATTTTATTATATAATAATAAATACACGATGTTTAGTATATTTTCATCGTGATATGCTAATTTACAGGTAGAATATCATATTATCACTTTTTAAAAATTTTTTAACAAAAGTGATGCAAAAGGTGTAAAAATAATAATCAGAACTGTACACGGATTATTGGCGTGGTCAATATATATTTTCCTCTGATATCAAGAACACGCTCTTGTATGACGAATTATAATTAACAAATGATTAATGAGAAGAACCTGTTGTACCAAGTACAGCAAAAAATTTTTAATCTCTTTCACAATTTTCCATGTAATAAAACTGATCTAAAAACTTCGAGTATTTTCCAAGTACTCTGTATGTAATGTAATTTCTAGGTAGTGCTCAAGGTGTCTCGCAACGATGCTCGATAAATGAGAAATTGATAAGTCCGAAACAAACAAATTTCATTACGTCACCTACAATAAATATAAAACTAATCATTGAAAAGCAAGCAAAGGAATTCAAGAGAACGTTGTTTATGCGAATTTTGATTATACGAATGGTCGATTATCCGAACATAAGGTGAATCATGCGTGCCAGAAATTATGGAAGTGGCTGAAGTCATGTATGTTTCGTTTTGAAATATTTAAAATTTCGCGCTTTAGATATATTCGAAATTTGAAAAATTAATTAATTAATTAAAATTACAAACTCGATTTAACGGTGCAATTCTTTGCACAAAATAAACACAAAATAAATGATAAAATCGGTTCCTTTGAAATTTTAACTTGGACCATATTCATAATTTCTAGCACACGTATGTATATCTAAATCGAAAAATTGAAATTATTCAGAAATTAGGATATTTGGTACTAATATACCTAGATTATATCAGTAGATACTAATATATCTAGAAGAATATCAGTCATGAATGGACGTAGATAAAAATAATTCGGGATAAAAAATTACGAGTGATAATTTTTAATCCCTAATTGATTTATGACATAATTAAAAATTTTCTTCTTTCAGCCCGATTAAAATCGGATTTTATTTATTAAATTGGATTTATTGGATTAATTCGAAATTAAGGGGATGCTCTGGTCTGGAAGTAAGAAAGGAATTATTTTTTCGATAATTTCTTTCGATAAAAGCCATAAGAGCTTTTCACGCAGCTTTTTTGTCGTCATTTGATAAATATTTTCAGAGTATCCTAAATTTTTTTCAATAAAAGGTAGCAACACATAGAAATTATGAAAGCATATATACCAGGTGATTTAAAAAACATGCTTGGTACGTTGACATGATTTCAGCTCTTCTATTTACTCAAATCAGACAAATTGAGAAGAATTCTGTTTAATAAGAACACAGTTATGATCGAAACCGGAAAATATAAAAAGTCTGCAAATTTAAAAGAATGCCAGTATTTTGAAGTTGAAATATCGATTTTCTTTCGGTCTTTTGTCACTTGAATGTTAAAAAAAAAAAATAGTGAATGATATTAAATTTCAATTGTTTTAATTCTGACGATAAAAGGACATCTGCCAAGGATAGTGCTGAAATTTGAAGTCAATCGGTTAACTAGAAATCGAGTTATCGTGTCAACGTGTTTAAAAAGTATAGATTTCGAGAAAAATGCGTTTAAAGTTTTTAGTACGAATATTCAAGATTCGATTGATTCGTCGTACCGTTTTACTGAAGGAATAGCCAACTTATAACGAGTCAGTTCTTGATTTGCAGCTCATCATTTGCACAAAGAGCGTGACGAAGTTAAAGTTCTGATGACACATGTAGCAACGAGACCGATCCACTCGTTGAAGTAATAGATATACATTACATTTCGAACGCGAATTTTACAAATTTCATGCAACGAGTTTGCACGTATATTTTCTAAGATTTTGAGAAAATGAAAAAAGGAAAACAGAATTTTGTGACCTTCTAGAGCAGAAGACCCCCTTAGTTCGGATAGTCGACATTCTACTGTGTAAATTTAAATGGTAAAATATGAATAATACGGGAATGGTAAATGAAGAAGATAAATTGATGGAAACGGAGAAATGTACATGTAAAAATGCTTGTTCAGGTCGAAGGGTACGCCGCGGCAGGCCGCGGCTTGGAACAAGGGGTGGAAAACATGGATCCCCGTCTGTGCAGGGTAATTCGCCATCGAGGAGCGAATGGCTACCCCTGGATATGAGAACTACACCTCCTGCTGCGATGCCTGCTTTCCGTGGCTTCGAGGAATCCT